TAATATTGGTAAGAGCATTTTCTTTTTTTGTCTTTCTATCAATCTTTGCCGAAGAATAAAAACCTAAAAACAGCTGCAGTATTTTCTCATATTTAACGTATGGTTTTTTTTTCTCTACCGATATATCAATATATGCTTTGTTTAAGTTGAATAACTAACTAGGAGTTGTTGGGTGTGGGTGTTTCTATCTTCTCTTTCGCCCACACCCACACCCTCAATAAAGAAACGAATCTTGTCTTTGTTTAGCAAAGATATAGATGAATAATCTTTTGAAAAGAGAATATTTACTGTAATCTAACTTCAATCAAAATCATAATTCAATATCTGAAACTTGTTCTTAAAGATATATATTGAAAAAACAATGAGAATATTATCTGATTGATTTAATTTAATAATTGAATTCAATTAAGTAAACAGATTGAAAGTTTGACTTGGAATCGAAATCTAGTTACCAACTGAAACGAAAATATATTAGAAATTGATTTTAAAATCAAAGAAAAATCATTTCCTTTTTATTGATCATTATTAATTAATTAATAAAATGATTACAACAATATTTATTTTTCTCAGCAATTATTCATATTCAATTTGATCGATATGAAATTTAAAATATTTAAACAATTCACTCTCTCTCATAAACATGTTCTTATATATTTTTATTCTATGAATATTATTGAGAGAAAAAGCAAATTTCCTCACATTTACATTTCTATCGTTTAGTTTTTATTCTAATATAATAATTCTTAACAATTTATTGTTCATTGAAATGTTTTACATTAATATTAATCAATAGAAAATAATATTAATAGAAACTTATTTGAAATGATTTTATTCTAATCGAATTTTATCCATCGTTAATACATGTACAATTTAGAAAATAATTCTAGAGAAATACTAATCAAACTTTTATCACCGCGACTATTCTTTTTATCTAAAATGAAAATATACAATTAAGTTTTAAAAAAGCAAATAATTCTTAATAGAATCTTCACATCTCCTTTACTTTCATTTATATGATAAAATGCAAGGATTTCAAATTCTCATTGAAAATAACTCAACTAAAATAATAACATACCTTCATTTATAAACAATAAAATCAAAGCAATTTATTTTTTATTTTATCATAAAATTATCTTTCTATTAAATGGTCGAAATTAAGAAAACCATCTTAACTTCCATTTAAATCGATTAATTTATTTTTAAAAAAATCTATTTAAATTTTATAATAGTAGAACAAAAGATCATCGAGCAAATTTTACTAAAACTATTCATTTATGGATAATTAAACTCAAACTGTTTTATTTTTCATCACCTTATTCACAACAAATTCTTTTCATATTCAGTTATTAATAATTAAACTATGACTTCGCAACCTTTACAACAATCGGTTAGAATAATACCTACATACAAATGCTCCATGTAAAATGGTTATAATATCTTAATTGCGCCAAATAGATAAAACAGTCTGATTTTTATAGAATCGATTGTTACCCTATCGAGTAATTCTTCTTGAGAAATAATAAAAAAATCAAATTATTTTCGTTTTCTACTATAGAAAAGTTAATATTTATTGAGAAATATTCTTTATCTCAATCTATCAATAGTATTGATAAACAAAACTAATCTCTATTTTATTCTTTTTGTTCTCTCGTCTTTGTGTTCTTATATATAATACATGGCGTTGTGTGATATGAACACAAATGGATAATAGAGTAATATACCGACGATAGTGGTAACACTATCCCATCCGTTCATCATTGTAATTACAATAAAATAAATAGTAGAACAAGAAGAAAATAATTTACCAATCTTATTCTTTGTTACAATGATTCATCAATTTTATTATGTATTTCAAAATGTTAATTAGCGTCATTAATTATTATCAAAGAGTTTTTCATAAAAAATGAACAAGTCAATGTGAAACATATAGAATTATTTTTGTTGAAATTTTCTATAAAAGAAAAATCTTTTCATTAATATAGATTACCATGATCAAGAAAAAAAATGAGATGAAATTTCTCTATATTTGTGTATTTGTTTGTATTTATGCCATTATGCAGTACAATCTATAATATATATATATATATATATATTTGTTTATCTTTTTCACCTAGATATTAACTAACGGATACAATAATCGTTTTGATTAAAGTACATGAAAAAATATTCGAATCTTATATAAATTTTGGATTGAGTAACATTTCAATGTATAAACAATGTGAAGATAGATTAGACAATCTTTTAATTAAATATATATTTGTTTAATTTCTATATTATTTAATGAGATATAATAAAATAAACTAATTCGTTGATTATTTTATTTTGTTTTATTTCAAAGTAGGAATGATACTTTTGATCTATATACAAAGTTATAATCAACACAAAATAACGTCATTTTTCTTTTTATTTTGTTGCGACTATTGATAAGCATTGCAATGTAAGAAAAAGTAGGTATTTCAATCGCATTACAATATTTATTCATACTCGAAAGAGAAGAAAAATAAATCCGGAAATTTTGGATTTTATCCGAGAGTTCGTGTACTGCAAAAGGTGTATGAGACAGATGAATCATCCTAGCATGTCTGGGTATCAGAATTCGAATAAGAAATCTTTTCTATAAGCACGATTTCTAGTGGCTGTACCCATCTGATAGGATATAGGATCGAATACTACTCAGATTTGTAGTATTCGCCTTGAGTTACTCTAGGAAAAATATTTTTCCGTAACTTGTTTTTTATTGGTTATTGCTCAACTATTGAGATTTCGAGGCAAATGGAATACAGATTCGAGTTGTTCTCTGCCTCATATAACCTTGAAGTAACATATATGTAATCACAAGAGAGATCTCTAATTCTGACTCAATGATGTCGTTGACAACATTGCAACCATCTCGTGCTAAATTATGTTGGCTATATTTGTGATTTAGCCTTCTTGATTCATTAGATATTATATACCATTTTGTAGCTGATGTAATTCTCTATCGAATGGTATATAATAAGTGGAATTTTATTTGACTTTAGTAGAAAAATTTCTTACGAAAATGAGCACAAACTGATCTTCTTATAGAAAAGTATAGGGAAAAATGAGTATTTTTGCAAAAACTCAGGAAGGACTCGTCCAACCAGGTTCATCTTCGAACTGGACCGAGATATTGATGAGACTAAACTGTGCAGAAAATTTTATCACGATCTACCTCGCCTTTCGAAAGTTATCATGTAAATGGACGGTCGAACAGACCACGATCGATTCTAGTAGTGTACTCACTTTCCGAGTACACTAAAAAGAAGCTGACTGACTTTTAAAATAATGATAGAATTTCACATAATACAGAATTATATAAATTATTACAAATAAATGAATACTATTAATGACTTTTTTTAATTTTGATTCACAGTGACCGAGGATTCGAGTAGGTGTGGGGGTGGGTGTCTTCTGTCGTTTTAGTCACACCCACACTCTTTTCTGTTGATAGATAAAAGGAACGAAATTAACTTTAGATTTTCACGTGGAAAAGTTCTCAAAATAAGATAACTATTAATAAAAATTTGGCTCAGATTTTAATCATTGTTTCATAATTAACAAAAACTCTATTATTTGTCTCATAAATTCAACTATGATATATTTTTTTGAATTTTTTCCTATCTCTGGAAATCTTATTGTTAATAATAATGATCAATATTCTTTTAATAAATTAAATATGATGAGAAATATTTTGTGTTGAAAATAGCATAGATCACAGATCAGATCAAAGAGATCATGTTAAAATATGTGAAGTATATCTATTATTTCTTTTTATGACAAGATAATAATAAAAGACTAATCAATAGTTTAGATTTAATTTTTGCTATTTTGTTTTTGGAATATTAGATTTAATCAATTTCCCTATAAAGTTAGATAGAATTCAATTCAAAGCTAATTTCATATATATTCGAAAAAAAACTTGTATGGTTATAGATGTAAAATTATTTATTTATTTTTAATGAAGCAATTAAACAATAATTATTGTACGTTGTTTTGAGCATTTAACATTTTATAGTAAATTCCATGTTTTTCTATTAGTTCTGTATGAGTACCACTCTCTACTATACGACCCATTTCAAGTACATGTATTAAATCACATGAACGTATTGTTGCAAGACGATGTGCAATAATAATTGATGTTCGACTAGGATCTTCTGTTTGAGCTTGTTCAAGAGTTTCTTGCACTATCTGAAAATTAAAAATATTAAACTGTACTTCTAAAAGAAAATAAATTAACTTGTTCATTGTATGGATCCATGGCACTTGTAGCTTCATCTAATAATAATATTTTAGGTCGACGAATAAGAACTCGAGCAATAGCAATACGTTGTTTTTCACCACCTGATAAAAAACTACCTTTTACTCCAACTTTTGTCTCATAACCCTATATGAAAATATAAGATTATATTATTAAATAATTTAATATTAATCTAACTTGAGGTAATTGTTGAATAAATTGATGAATATTAGCTTTAGTTGCAGCAAGAATAATCTCATCAATTGATATATTTTCTAATCCATATGTTATATTTTCAGCAATTGTTAAATCAAATAATACTGGTTCTTGACTAACAACACCCAAACGAGAACGAAGCCATTGAAGATTTAATTGTCGAATATCAACACCATCAAGAGTCTTATTTATATTAGAATATGTTTTTATATAACTACTTAAATTATATATAGAAAATAGATACTTACCAATTCTCCATGTGTAACATCATAAAATCGTTCTAACAATTGAACTATGGTTGATTTTCCACATCCGGATGCACCTAAATCGATTATATTATATGATTAATAAATTAGAAAATATAATTTATTTAAACATACCAACAAGAGCTATACGTTGACCTGATTTAATAGATAACTGAAGTTTATTAAGAACAAGAACTGTTGGACGACTTGGATAAACAAATTTAACTTGATTAAAGTCTGCTTCTCCACGAAAATTAACCTAAACAATTCAAAATTAAAATATACAAGTGAAAGATATTAGTTCGTTTTTCTTTTACCAATTCTTGGCCTTTATTTAATCCATTATCAATAGTTGGTATTCGATCAAATAGATCAAAAAATGCGTGTGCAGCAGTTAATGATGTACCCATACGTTGTGCTCTGAAATGAGAATAAGAAAAAGAAAAAGAAAACATAAATTGTATATCTTACAACATTTGAACAACTTTTAGTGATTCTAATGCGAACATTGCAAAAGCAGAAATCCTATAAAAATAAAAGTTAATTTGTGGATTATTAAAATTATTGTTTTAGTTACATAACAACGTTGCTCATGTCTAGTTCATTGTTTTCAACAAGAACCAAAGCACGCCAATACAAAAGTCCTAAAGTCAATGATTCCATCGTCAAGTATAATCCATATATTATTGCAAGCAGTACGTCTGGTCTCCAAGACATTCTGAACAAACGAAAATTTATTGAAAATTGTAGTAAATATCTCTGAAAAAAAGAGAGTTATATTCGATTTTATTAGTCCATTATCGATAATAGCAGAACATGTTTTTGATAAAATTAATCTAAATTCTCAAAACAAATCTGCCTTTTTTAGTTATTTTATTATATATATTTAGATTCGAATCTCATTCTGCTATAACTAGAAAATAAACTGACTAGAATCAAAGCAAGTGTATTATCAAATTTTTCTCAAATTTCGACTTTCCTATTGTTTTCTCAGTTAGTTTTATGATTTTTCGTTACTATACAAGATGATAGATAGTTTCTGACTCTATCAAAGCAAACTATTACTAATCTTTGATAAAGAACTTCTTGCATAGTAATGAGAAATCTTAAAAATTAACTAAGAAAACAATGACAAAATACACTTTGTAGAGAATCTATCTATGAAGAATGTTTCATTGCAGCTAGTTTATTTTCCAACTAATGATTGCAAATTACAACCTAAATACAACGAACCATAGAAAAACTCGAATCATTCTTAACAACTTAGATTTATTTCTCGTATGATGTTATTTTAATTAAATAATCGACTATAGCTTGTTTTTTCAAATATATATTATTCAAAAGACTAACCGTAATACTTGATCAATCATATTCGAATATTGTCGTAAAACTTCATTTTCTATTGATAACTGTTTTACTGTGCGCATATTAGTAAGAACTTCAACAGCAAGCTAAACAAGACAAAACACAAAATGAATATTTAATAATCATTTAATCAAATAATGTATAATAACATAATTCTATTACATATTAAAATATTATGAATAACAAGATGGTTTTACCGTGCTAGCTTGACAATAAATGAGATCAGACTGTGATTTTAACCATGAACTCAACCGTATTTGTATAATAAAGGCGATTAGTAGAATAACGAAAGGAATAAATATGATTATTGTTAATTGCCAATTGTAAAACAAGCCAAGCAAGACACCAATAGCAGACATGGATAAAGTTTCACAAATAACACCTAATCTTGAACCAACCATGTCTTGAATAACAGCTGCATTAGAAGACAGTTGATTACATATTGCACCTGAACTGTTTTCAGGTCGATCAAAATAAGCGACTTCTTGACGAAGAAAACATGAGAAAGCTTTTGAACGAATACGACTAACCAATTTCGCTCCTGCGATTCCAAAAGTCAAAAACTGTAAGCGAATATGAAAAAAACTCGTTGATATAATTTAGAAATAATATTATTACTTGGAAAAAACGAAGAATCAGAAAAGCAGCGCCGAAAAGAAGGAATATACCACTTGTAATCAATACTCGACGACGTATATCAGTATATTTACAATCATTAAATTCCTAAATAAATGAAAAATTCGACAGAAAAAAACGCATCTTTTATATTTTGTTTGAATATTCACATGAATAAAACCACTCACATTGATTATTTTTGCGAATAGAATTGAGAAGACTGGTCCACGTAATCCACCAAGTAAACATACTAAACAACCAATCAAGATAAACATCCATTCAGGACTATTCATCTTCAAGAGTCTAACAAAGACAGATTTTTCTCGTGTTGATAACGAAGCTCTCTAAATATTTATATATTAATAATGATTTTTTAAAAGTTATTAGATATTTATTTTTACCCGATTTATATCAATTGCTTCGCTCTCACTCAATAGACGAACACGTTCCACTATTCGAAAAAAAACAAAACAGAATCAAGTTTAGAAAATATAATAATAATAACATACATAGTTGTTCTTCATCTTCAGCTGCTGCTTTTGCTATATTCATTAATTCATCTTGTGTATGAATCGTTTTTATAGATTGTTGCATTTTGACCATTGTTTGATATTTCCCTCCTTCTTTTTTCAATAATGTTTCATGTGTGCCTTCTTCAATTACACTTCCTTTATCTAATACATAGATATAATCAGCATTTTGAATCGTAGTTAAACGATGAGCAATAACTATAGTTGTACGATCTATAGTATAGTAATAATAATAATATAACCAATAATAATTAAATAATTTTTACCTTTACATGCTCGATCAAGTGCTTCTTGAACAATTTTTTCACTAACATTATCAAGTGCACTTGTTGCTTCATCTAACAAAAGAATACTGGGTTGCTTGACAAGTGCACGAGCTAATGCAATACGTTGTTTTTCACCACCACTCAATTGTATACCACGTTCACCAACAAGTGTTTCATATTTCTACAAAAAAAAATATTAATATAAAAAGAAATATTTCAAAACAAACATTTGGTAATTTCATAATGAATTTATGTGCATTAGCTTGCTCTGCTGCATGTTCAATCTCTGCACGTGTTGCATTCATTTTACCAAAACGAATATTTTCATAAATACTTATTCCAAATAGAATCTATTTCAATATACAAAAATTTGACAGAGACTAAAAAAAGAAAAGAAAATAAACCTACAGGTTCTTGGCTGACAACTCCAATATTTTGACGAAATTGTTTAATTTTATAATCTGTAATTGATTGACCATCAATCCTAATTGTGCCTGAAGAAGGTTTATAGTGGCGAAGAAGAAGTGATACACATGTACTTTTTCCTATCACAATTAATTTCAATATTAAAGTATTGTTTGTTTTAGAAAAAATGATTTACCACAACCACTTGAACCTACAAGAGCAGTTGTTTGATTAGCACGAGCAATCAATTTAAGATTATTCAAAGCTGTTGCATTTTCTCTTGATGGATAACTAAAACTAACATTGTCAAATTCAATATCACCATTGATATTAGAAATTGATTTTTCATCAGATATGTTCTCTTCCAATATTTCTCTTTCATTCAGATTTTCATCATGTACCTATATCATTAAATAAAATAGAAAATATAATTAACAACGTTTAGTCTCTATAGTATTCAATGTATTTTACTTCGTCAATAAGTCGAAATACGGATACTGCTGCACCTTGAGCTTCCGAAATTGATTGAAAAAAAGGTCCAATTGCATTAAGAAAACCTAAAGCTTGTGCAAACATATTTACAACCTAAACAAAATTTCGTTTTTCAGTTCCTTTCTTATGTATATTGATGTTATAACTGACTTACAATAAGAATCTCACTAATAGTCAGTGTATGATGAGTGTCATCAGACATAAGAATAGAACCAAAAGTGAAACCAATTGAATAAACTAGAAAATTTATAAAAAATAACCAACCAAAAAAAGTACCAAATGCAATATCTTTGCGAACAGTAAACCATTCATTTAATTTTAATTCTTTTTCATATCTAAAGACAAGAAATAATATTTGATTTATTTATTTATTTATTTATTTATTTATTTATTTATTTCTCTACTGTTTTTGTTGGTATTTACGTCCATTGAATGAAAGAACAGTTCTTAATGAACTAAATACTTCTTGGGCGATTTGTTCAGCTTTTGAATATGTATTTAATTGTTCTTCTGTTTCTTTAGTAATGACCTATAACTATTGATAAATTTTTAGTAAATTAAATAACAATTTCTACCTTAGCAAACATCAATGAACTACCAACAACAAACGGAATTATACAAGACATAATTAAAGATAATTTCCAATTGAGAATAAAACATATAATTATACTGAAAATCATGATTAGAGTAAATTCAATTACTAGTACAAATTCAAAACCCATCCCATTCTTAATCTTTTCAATGTGACTGTAAAGGAAATCGATCATATCGAATTCTTTCTTTTAAATTTATTATATTTCCTTACGTAAAAAGCTTTGAATTGTATTGAGTAGTTTGGTTTATATCCAAATATGTCATGTTCTAAAAAGAATGAAAGAGAAGGAACAAGATTATTTTATCTTAAATTATAATTTAACAAATAAATAAATTTTATGTTATTTTCTAATTAATCCATTAAAACTATTTCGAAATTGTGTTAATAATAAAATTCTCTGTTTATTTTTTACGGTAAATTTACCTTGAACATGATCTTTGAGATTCATTCATATTATCATTCTCGTTTCTTATCTATTTTCTATTGATATACAAATGATGTTTTTAGAATGATTACTTTCTTGATTAGAGAAATATCTTGAAAAAAGAAAATAAGAAATCGAGACGAAAATTATCTACTTTATTTTGTTTTATGTTTGACTTGGACCAACAGAAATAAAATCGAATAAACTGTATTTCAACTAATTTCATCGTTTATAATCAATTATTTTAGTTACTCTTCAATGAATAACCATCTTTGAAGAAATAAAAACATTTACAATGCAGATCTGCACTAAATTTAAGTCACTTAGTAGAAATTTGATATTATTCAATTTCGACTTATGATCACGAACTATAAAGTATTTTATGAGTGTAAAAAAAGTTAACTTACGCGTTGAATAAGTGATCGAAAGAGTAAAATACTCATTCGAGATGTTTGTCGTTTCGTAGCAATTGTCCAACAGATATAATTAAGAGAAATACATAGAAATCCAAGAATACTTAAACCTACATTGGCACAGAGAAACAACAAATCATTTATTTTTTTCAATTTAAATCGTCATATTCAATAGATTTACCGAAGAACAAATAAACTAAATGCATGACATTTTCTCGAAATAAAGGTGTTATTGGAGATAATGTCGATGGAACAATTTTATTATCATAATGACATAGTCTAAGAATAAAAAATTTGAAAAGATTAAAAATAAAAATATTTTTCATTGAATTACTTATGTAATCGATCATAATTAAATGGATTAAGATCAATACCAAAAGGACATACACTATTATTGATAATTGTAGAGACGAAATTTTCATATTGATTATGACAATCAACAGAAAATGATTTTGTGGCAAATAATCCCGTGATTCGACCAAAAAGAATTATAGTTGTGAGAGCATAAACTACATCTCCCAGCATGAAACACAGAGCGATAATTATAAGAAGAATATCAATACGATCAGCAAATCGAAACTATTAGTAAATGAAATAAATTAATTCATATATAAATATTTATTAAAAAGAAAAACAATATGCTTTCAACTTAGTATTTTATTACTTTCTTTAATGATATTTTATGTTTAAATATACTTACTAATTGTAAAACACCGACTGGAATATCTTTAGTAGTTTGGTTGATCTCATCGTTTAACTTTTTATTCTTAGCAGCAGTCTTTTGCTGATTGAAATATTGACGCCACTCAGAAAAACTATAAATAATAATGAGTTCTTATGTGTTTATCAATATTATATTTTTTTAAAAATGATACCTTTTGTTTTCATTGTCACTATCATTGTCATCAAGTAATTTGTTATGTTTCTTTAATAGCGGCTCCTTATCACTCATATTCTTCTTTTTTTCTTCAAACACAAATTATTATGAAGCATGAAGCTTATTATGGGTCTACATGTATTAGTATAAAGAGTGACTGAATATTCTTTGCTTCACTGATTTTGCGTCCTGTACCTATTTTATCTGTTTTCTCTTATATTATCAAAAAACGTGGGCAACACTATGTAAAAGGCAGAAATTTTAGATATTTTTTCATAGACGCAAATCTAATTAATATTTTCTTCGTGCCTGTCGCGTAGGAGTAGTAGGTTCTCATTAAAGACTCAGAGATAGTAAATTTAATGATTGATAAAGACTAAAAATAATTGAGAATATTATATGTAAAAAGTCGTTCAAATCTAATTCTAAAGCATTTATAGACAAAAAAAATAAAAAATAAATTATCGATTACTTTTAATCTCTATACAATCATGAAGTTTTAAATTAGAATTTTATTAACCGTAAAGAAAACAATAAAATAAATTAAAGAGGTATGAAGAGTCGAAATCATCAATCCAGTTCTACAATAAAATTTATATATTTACAAGAGATAGAATTTTATTTTAAGATTATCATTCATTTCCAAATAGTTACATAATACTAATGATATTTTCTATAAGACTATATATAATATTCATTAATAATATGATTTTTTATTTACCATACTCTTCCTTTATTTATTTGTTTAAAAATAAGTTAGCTTTCGAAATGCACTGTATTTATTCATCAAACATTTTTCTACTGTACATAACATTCTACGCATTTATATATACATATTATAAAGAGACATTGTCTTTGTTCTTTTTCTTTGTTCGTCCTTTGTTAAATATTTAATAGTGATACAGAAGACAAAAGGGTAAGAATGACTAAGTCGAGTTTGAAACCTGTTCTGTATCAATATTAAACGTTTAACAAGGAAGAAGAACAAAGACAATGTCTCTTTATAAAATGTATATATAAATGTGTAAAATATTATGTACAGTAGAAAAACGTCTGATAAAGAAATGCAGTGCATTTCAAAAGCTAATTTGTTTTTAAATAGATAAATAAAGGAAGAGTATGAAAAATAAATATCAATTAAACATTCCTAACCGAAAAGAATAATCATATGATTTTATTAACAAATCAATCGATTATACATAAATAATTGTTTCAATCTTCATTATAATATCAAGTTAAGAATATAATTATTTAACAAATACTAAAATTTATAATATCATTTATGTCAGAGAAATGCAATTAGCATTTAGATAATAAAAATAAAGAGAATGATTTACTTCTTTTATTTTTCTATTAGAATCGAATGGGGGAAGATGAATGAAAAACATCAAATAATACATATGATTTAATGGTACAAATGAGACGTTTCGACGGCTGTATCCTATTCTCCTATCAAAGAGAAACTGTGTGACTTCAAGCAGAGATGCATCAATCACATGAAGTTAGAAAGAAAAACTTTTTTTTAACAAACATATTGTCTTTATTAAATCACACTCCTACAACCTATACAAAAGAAAATTTTGCGAAATAGTCACGAAATAATCGATTTATTGATGATTTACGTGTAATTATTACTGTCAGAATCATTTATTAAAATCGTATGAAAATAATCGATTATTTCGTGATTATTTCCCAATATTTTCTTTACATGGGAAAAACACACAAAAAAATTTCTCACTCCATGTTTTCATTCATTCATAGAAGTTTAAAAGAACTTGAGAGAAATACCTATTCAAGTATATGTACATGTCTATATAGAAATTATTTTTTTTCCATTTCTCCTTGATATGCATTACTCAAAAGTGAAGAGAAACAAATTTTCTTATTGACTGTTTCAATTGTAAATGTTATGAACTGCTCATTGATACGATCATATTTAGTACACTACAATCGTATAAGAAATGCAATAGAGAATCTTGGATTTATTTTAAACGTGTCTGATATATGAAAAATAATATTTGTTTTCTTTATTTGCTGATGAATGAATAATTACATAATCTTGCATTTTATAAGAATATGTCAATTAACAGTTATTTCGACTAAAATAAATAAGATAATCAATCTATTAAGAATAATCTCAAGCGACAAAATTAACAAAAAAGGAAACTTTTGAATAGAAATATAAGATAAAATTAATGTTTTTTTTGTATCCATATTGGCTGTTATTTTAGTTTATTAGTTAATTGAAAAAGATATCGACGACTAATGCTAAGAATTAGGACGAATATGAATAAATTGTGAGTGTGAATAAGGTTCTAGACAACAAGGTAACCACAAGGGTGCAATGGATGATATAGTGGTTTCTTCGTGATAAGTTCAAGTGATTTCGCTCTTCGTCGTGGCAAACATTCATTAATATAAATATCAAAATTAATCTTTCTTTTTAATTCTATCGCTTAATTTGTTGTATGATACTCTGTATTAAAAATATAGAATTCTTGACAAGTGATCTGATGGAATACAGAATATTCATTTTTAAAGTTGATGATATTTTCTATTTATAAATCATTATATTATATTAAATAAATATATATAATTCAAATTCGTGATCTTCTCAACAGTAAGAAAAAGTCTAAAATCTATGCAACATTCTAATTCATAATTAGTTTTTAGATTTTATTTGACTTAATTCACTTTGGCTTTGATTCATGGAGCTATCTTTATTTTTTTAAAAACTATTGTCATTTAATGATATTAATATGAATTTTTTCTTAATTAAGAAATGATATTATACAGTAAAGAGTAACAATTCTCAATCCATTTTATGCCAAAGACTGAGAGATAACATATGCATCATTTTCAATAAAGTTTATAGTCATTCTATTTCTCACATATGATCAAGTACAAATCTACGATAAGCAGTGCCATGTGCCATTAGTTCTGCATGCGTACCGCTTTCCAGTAATCGTCCATGAGGACCAAGAACACAAATAAGATCACATGATTGAATAATATAAAGACGATGTGCCACAATAATAACAGTTTGTGATGGATTATCTTGCCGTACAGCATTCAACGATTCTTCAACAAGCTGAAAAAAATTAGAAATAACATGGAAATTTTTTGACTATTAATTGGTTTCTACTTATTCAGTAATGTCAAATTTCTCAACTCTCTACTATGAATTACATTATTAAGTTTCAACAAGATAGAAATAATAGAATAAAACATCGTATAAGATCTAATATTTTGTCAATTTGTATTTTATAAGAAATAGACAAACAAATTTTATTTACCTTTTCATTATGTACATCCAACGCACTCGTTGCTTCATCAAGTAATAAAACTTTTCGATTTCGAAAAAGAGCTCGTGCAATAGCAATACGCTGTTTTTGACCTCCAGATAGAAATGAAGTTCCATTCAATCATACAAGTGTATCATAACCTTGAAATTTAATAAAATAATCATTTTTTTATTATAAAGCAGCGTCTTTTCAAAGTTCAACATATCATATAGATAAAAATTGAGTTTTTTTTTAAGTATATAAAAAGAGTGAAATGTATCTGCAGTAATGTTTTTATAAAGTTATAAGAATGAGCGTGTCTAATTGTATTAATGATATATTCATAAGTAAATGTATGTAGTGAACAGCCATATGATATATTTTCGCCAATAGTAAGATCCAACATAAGAGCTGGTTCTTGACCAATAAGACCAATTTGTGCTCGTAACCATGATAACTTTAACGTTCGTATATCATGACCATCAACTAACTATTAAAAAATCAATATTGAGAAGCATGTATTTTCTCATTTGAGGAAAAGAATTATTTAGTCATATAATTTTCTAAGTAGTGTAGTGTGAATATACGACACATCTTTCTGTTTTAAAAATAAAGCTCATAGACAACTATTAAAGATAGCACTGAATTTGATCTATTTAGTTTAAAAACAATACGAATGTATCTTCAATCGATTTTTATACTGTTAGTTACTTATATGATGAAAATGGAGAAAAAACAAATTATGTACCACACGTCCTTTACTATAATCGTAAAATCGTTCGAGTAATTGAGTTACTCTTTGACTAACAATTTAGTTTCGATTCAATTCGGAAGTTTTTGATTTTGTTAAAAAATAAAAAAACGATTCAAGTTGATTTCTTTAGGTCTTTTAAGAGATTCTGGAAAATATCAATGTCAATAATCGATCGGAAGTTAATTTAAGGTTTAATTAGATAAGATATTGAAGAGGAAATCTTCCGATGGTACATATCAGATTTTGTTGATTTATACAAAACATGATAAAACAAGAAAATTTTTTCAGTGAATATATCGCATATGAACAAATAATCCTATTCCTTTTGCTCTAATCGAACAGATTATTTCAATGTATAGAAGATTTAACGTAGAAGGAAAATAAATCATGAATAATAGAATACTTAAAAAAATCATAGATTTTTCTTTAGACTGTTAATGCTTTTGTTTTCTTTATCGACGATTTTAAATTAATATAATAAGATTCGAATATCGAGATAAGTATTGAGAAATATATCTAAATAATAATTTCGAAGTTAATTATTATTTATTCAGATTTTATCCATCATTGATACAATTGAGAACATAATTCTAGAGGAATACTAATCAAATTTTTATCACCGCAACTATTCTTTTCGTCAAAAATTAAAATATAAAATTAAAATTTGAAAAAAACAAATAACTCTAAATAAAATCTTCACATCTCCTTTCTTTTATTAAGATAATAAAATGAAAAGATTTGAAATTCTCATTGAAAATAATTCAATTTAAATAATAAAATATCTTTATTTCTAAACAATAAAATCAAAGCAATTTCTTTTTTATTTCATCATACAATTCTCTTTTTATTAAATAGTCTAGATTAAGAAAATCATCTTAACTTCCATTCAAATCATTTAAATTATTAAAAAAATCTTTCTTTTATATTCAATAATCAATATTCTATTCGAATTTTATAATAGTATAACAAAAGATCATTGAGGAAATCTTATTAAGACTACTCATTTATGAAGCATTAAACTCAATCTGTTTGTTTTTCATTGCCCTATTCACAACAATTCTTTTCATATTCAATCATTAAGAATTCCACTGTGACTTGTCAACTTTTACAATATCGATGAGAATGATACCTGCATAGAAATGTTCATAAGATTTTAATTGCGTCAAATAGATAAAATATTTGGATTTTTATGGAATTGATTATTACCCAACTGAGCAATTCTTCTTGATAAATAACAAAAAAATCAAATTACTTTCGTTTTCTACTATAAAAAAGTTATTATTTATTGAGAAATATTCTTCATCTCAATATAAATAGTATATTCATACACAAAATTAATCTATATTTTATTCTTTTCGTTCTCTCGCCTTTGTGTTCTTATATATAATACATGGCGTTGTGTGATATGAACACAAATGGATAATAGAGTAATATACCGAGGACGAGGATAGTGGTAATACTACCCGATCCGTTCATCATTGTGATCACAATAAAATATTCGAATAAGAAGAAAATAATCTATAAATTTTATTCTTTGTTACAATATTTCATCAATTTTATTTTTTGTATTTCAAAATGTTAATTATCTTCATTGATTATTATCAAAGACTTTTTCATAAAAAAAAAGAACAAGTCAATGTAAAACATCAAGAATTATTTTTGCGGAAATTTCTGATAAAAATTTCTTTTTATAAAAGAAAAAGTTTTCCATTGATATAGATTACCTTGATAACGAAAAAAAAATCACATGAAATTTATCTATATTTATATGTTTGTTCATATTTATACCATTATGCACTACAATCTATAATATTTTTTTTATTTTTCACCTATACATCAACTAACGGATAGAATAATCGTTTGTCCATTTATTGATTAAAGTACATGAAAAACTAGTAGAATCTCATATAAATTTTGAATTGAATAACATTTCAATGTATGAACAATCTGCAGACAGATTAGGTAATCTTTCAATTCTATAAATATATATATTTGTTTAATTTCTATATTATTTAACGAAATACAATAAAATAAATTAATTTTAAAGTATATTTATTCGTCGATTATTTTATTTTATTTCAAAGTAAAAGTAAAACTTTTGAACTATATACAAACTTATTACGAACACAAAATAACGTGATTTTTTTCTTTTCTTTTCTTTTCGTTCTGTTACACTAGCACGTTGTCTATAGGAGATAAAACCTTACCGTTTATTAATAGTGTGTTAATGTAACAGAATGAAAAAAACTGGCTACTGTAAATAAGCAAGCGATTACTTTTTTTTTATATTTATTCAACTAAATTATCTGTAAGAGATACAAATGAAATCTTGTTTACATAGATCTAATATTTATTAATATTTTATACTGGATTGAAAAAAAAGAGAATAAATATATTGAATGAACTATTATTCAATATTTTAAATTCACTAAATCAAGTTATATTGAGTTTGGATCTATATGTATATCATCTAAATTATCTCGGTTGAGACATACGTTCTTGACAATAAATTCATATATGTAACGTGATCTATTCCTATTAAGATATACTCTGATATAGCGATTAATTCAAAATTCAATGTAAATAAATTACTCAGAAAAGACAAAGAAATGAGTTAAGAGAACAAAATATATGCGCATATGTAAAAAATCACTGAAGTGTACCGATCAATTATGTATCACACTAAAAATATATCGTCATGTTCAATTATTGCTTCTATTCAAAAGATATTCATGATTAATATTTCATGTTAGCCTTGTTGATCACTGAATGGCTATATACGACCAAATTTTGATTCAGAGTTTATTATTATTTTCTTTGTAAATAAAACTCTAGTTGGAGATTTTTCTTATTTAAATGATTACAAGCAAGTTTTAACATATCAAATCCAATGAATCTCATAATTATTTCAATACTCTAAATTTTAACATTTCAGCTAGTTAGAATTAAATATAATCATATATGATAAATGTCAACTGAAAATAATACTTTATTTAAATTTCCTAGAGTTGATTATTTTTATATATCTACCTTATAGAATGGTGATTAATTAACCATACAAACTGCAAAAATTATTTTAAAACTAATAGGACAAGATATATAGAATAAAATAAATAAAAATATATAATTTGTTTGTTTATCAAAAGATTACCAGTACTACATAAGACAAATTTCAAAGTGATGAGTAGACATGAACTTAGATGAAAGAAACTTCTACTAGAATATCTCTAATGACTCATCATATACTACCATTATATTATTTTAAACAAATATTTTTGGTATATTGTTATTTATCATGAATAAATAAATAATCATTTTTTTGATCGTTTCATAAATATAATTATGAGTTGAGTAATTCTAATATAGATACAAACAAAGATTCAACTGAAGAAATTTATTTCGAAAATAACTTTAAAAGGTTAAAGGAAAAAAGTCAAAGATTCGTTCAGGTCTTTGCTATAGTTATAGGATAATATTTATCTAAAATCTAACTATAAAGTAAATAAAATATTTTTTTCATTTATCACACTACTGCTTGAGAACAATTCTTACATAAAATACAATAATTCTATTCAAGTTTTTTATCCACAGTAATACAATAATCCTATTTTAATTTACCTTTATAATTCAAGTCAATTTTTTTTCTCTTTATACTATTTTATTTGTAGAGAAACTCAAACTGGAAAACTATATTTTTCTACCGTGATAGAAAAATCAGTTGTAGATTATATTTACAATTAAAATAAATATTTTTTTCTTATTGTACTTCGATTATAGTTTAGTATCTTCATTCATATATCTACTCCAATGATATGAGACGTGTATCGTTTAATATGAAAATAACAAAAAAAAAAGATGTACTTGCTGTATTGAGATGATATTTTACAAAGTAATACTTTTTATATTCTTTTCCTTCTGGTCAATAACACAATGGCACAAACACTGTCCTTTCTTTATATGCCTTGTATTACTCTGGTACATTTTTTATTATTTATTATTGTTGTTTTGTTCGTGTAATTTATCTTTCGAATATAATTGCAAAGATATAAAGTATGTGACAAGATATAATAATGATCGATGGAGGATATTCTTTCGTTTGTATCTTGCTTTCATTATTCACCTATCCGATTAGATTTTCTTTTTTTTTCTTTTATACGATTGCTCCTTCTCCTCTTTAATTTCTATCGCTATTGTCAATGGGCAATAATGAAACCAAATATTCTTCAATGTGCAGTAAAGAAAATTGTTG